GCATCTACCTCTGCTTGTTCGGTCTCCAAAGGATCAACCACTTGTGTCACCTGAGGCTCTCGCAGCATAATGTACAACTCAATAGAGTCGTACCCGGAATACACATGACTGAAAAACATATTCTGAAGATCCTTGTCATCTTGAACCTCAACCTTATAAAATATTATTTGGTTGTTACAAAAAAAAACTAGATTCTGATAAAATATTTGTGTCACCGGGCCTCGTCCAAGTTTGGTCTCCAATCGTTTTTTGAAGTACAAGAAATTGGCTTTCCCGTTTAAATGAAATTGGATGTTGTTTGTGTCTCTAAACAAAAATCCAGAGGTAGGACAAATGTATGTCTCACCGTTGAAATATGCACTGATGACATATTGGGGTGTATAGGCCATTACGTATGATTGTTTGAAGGTTTGAAGGTTGGAAGGTTTGAAGTTTATGAGTTATTCGAAGGTTTGATTGTTTGAAGATTTGAAGGTTGGAAGGTTTGAGAGATTAAGTGAATCAATGTTTTGATAAATGTAAGACTAAATAGGTCATACTGAATTTGAATTAACTAAGGTTGTAACCTCTAAGGCTCCTCCCATCACGTCCAATAGTATTACCAAGGCTGTCACCTAGCCTGCGCCTACTCTGCAACCCATGCCACCTCTTATTTGCCAATGGGGATGGCGACACCTTTCATTTTTGTACTCTTTCGCCAAGTCCAATGGCGTCTCCCTTCACGTCCAATAGTGTTACATACATTCAGGGATGCCTTCTCCAAGGCTGCCACCTAGCCTGCGCCTACTCTACACCTACACTATAACTTATAAGTCTCCTCCCATCACCTTCAATAGTGTTACATGCATTCAGGCATGCCTTCTCCAAGACTGTCACCTAGCTTGCGCCTACTCTGCAACCCATGCCACCTCTTATTCGCCAACAGGGATGGCGAAACCTTTCATTTTTGTACTCTTTCGCCAAGTCTAATGGCGTTTCCCTTTATGTCCAATCGTGTTACATGCATGCAGAGATGCCTTCTCCAATGGCTGCCACCTAGCCCGCGCCTACACTGCAAGAGTGACACTTATCATGCATGCATGCACCAGCTACCACCTCACTTACTCTATAAATTTTGTTTGCCTATAAATACAGAGCATAACATACTTCCCTCGCACCCACAATCGTCTCACTCTCTGCTACAAACTCTTTCATAATCTCTTATAATTTCTAAGTCTTTCATAATCTCAGGCATTTTCAACAATAGTTCTTCTCACAATGGGCGATTCTCACAGAGGCACAGGGGACAACATTGCAGCATTTGTAAGTTTCTTTTATAGTTATACATTTTTTATACTTTTGGTAATGCTTTGTTCATCTTACTTAATCTTACACCTTTTACATTATTAACTCAAGATACTAAAAGATTCAGAATCCGGTCTCACAACTACCTTGCTCCCGACCCATTTATCGTATCATATTTGGAATACGCAGATTTCGGACATGTTATAAAGATCTCCAACTGCACAATTGATTCAAAGTTCATACTTGCAATATTGGAAAGGTGGAGACCAGAGACCCGTACATTTCACCTACCAATAGGTGAATGTACCGTCACACTAGAGGATGTGTACATGTTACTGGGTCTCCCTGTCGATGGTAAGGCCGTTAATGGGTCGGTTCAACAACCCAATTCTCTGTGTGAAGAATTGTTGGGCAGGGATATGGTTGAAGGTGGTGGTGCGAGAGGTCAGTGTATACTACTAACTGAGCTTAAAAATCATTATGCGACTTCGGAATTAAACGAAAATTCTTCCGAGCAAGACAGGGTAATAAAAGCTAGAACTTATCTAATGATACTATTTGGAACCTTTTTATTTCCCGAAAGTATGGGAAATAGTGTAAATTTTATGTATTTAAATTTACTTAGAGACTTCGAAAAAACTAGAAAGTATAGTTGAGGTTATGCGGTTTTAGCCCACCTATACAGTTCCTTGTGCAAAAATGCAATCAAGGAAAAATGTACATTTTATGGCTGCACTTTTTTACTTCAAGCCTGGGGTTGGTGGAGGATGGAGTCCCTAAACCCCATCAACAACAACACATTCATTTTTCCGTACGCAACAAAGTAAGTCATCAAGTTATATCATTTATTACTATTCATCTCTTCACCAAAGATATGATAAAAATAAAATATTTTTCATTTCCTTTAGGTATTGCGTGAGGGGTATGGATTACGGCAAGAATCTAAGATTCAATGTCGCACTATACCGCAATCTATTGGATCACTAGGCCCGAATGATGTACGTCGTACCTTTCAACTTTTCTACTTTTAAATTATTTATATATTACATTTTCATTAACCTGATTTAATTTTATGCGCAGTTTGTCTAGAGACCATATTTGGGTTTGGGCCATGAACCAAATCCCGAGGATGCAGCAATTTGGAGCCCCAAGATTGTAATCATACAGTTCAATGTTGTGGAGATGCACCACAGCGACTGTGTGAAGATGTAGTTTAGAATGCATCAAGAGATACCCAGTGATCCGACTTATTTGTCCCCGTGGCATCTCAAAAGGGTCGACGCCCAATGGGGTCTTACCAACTGGAAATACTTTGCTCCAGAATGGTGTAAGATGTGGCAGAGGCGTCACCGACATGTCTTGCAATTCCCGGTTTTCCTCAATCATGGTAATATGCGACACACGGATTAGTATTTATCTTGGTACAAGTCAGTTAGTAACCCTGAAATGCACGTGTCTCATCCAAGGTATTTGGTTGACCCGCGAACACAATGGGCACAACCCTCATTTCCCCAACAACAAACCCAACACACATCAACCTCCCACCAACCCCCAGACGAAACAGAATCACAAACACCCAACCACAGTCGCCACCAAAATACAATTACACCCAAATGCCCCACAACCAACCACAATCACCACCTCAGTATCAATACCCCCATATGCCTCACACCCAACCGCAATTCCAATCACAATACCAACACACCCGCATACCCCACACACAATTTTAGTCTTCTGTATATCCCAATATGGGCCCCTCAACATCCAGCCTTAGCCCTGATTTGGGAATGTCGGAAGATTATGAACCAACCGACCCAACTTACCATCAATCACAGTATCACCAAACCACCCAACATCCTCAATACCAAACACCCCAAGATCCATTTCCTTTCTACCCCCCGTACTCATACGATCAATGCTACAGACCAACCATGAAACCTAACCCACCGCCAACACGACCAAACTTTGAGGGTATGGGTAACCGACTGTACCAAAGCGGATCTTCTAGATATAGAGATCTGACTGATTTCATGGATCCGAAATGCATTGACTTCGTTGGGCCATCGACCCTCCCACAGCAGGAAGTGCGACGACACCCAGCACGGGAAAGGCGAGGACGGGGATGCGGAACCGGGGGTCATTACCGGGTTCTGGGGGACCACTGATTAATCTGTTTTTTTTATTTAATCTGTTTTATTTTATGTAATACTTATGGGTGTAATTATTTTTTGTAAATAAAAAGTCAATTTTGTTGATCCTATATCGAATACGTAACGCACCGGATTGAAAAAAAAACACGAAAATTACCCTAACAAATGCACTAAGGCGCCATCTCACTTGGCTTAGGGCAAGCCCTAAGCACCTAGGCGCTTAGTGAGATGGCGCCTCCCTTTAAAAAGTAGGTGTAGGTGTCAAGTGAGATGGCTCCTCCTTTGGAGAGTCATCTGAAACATGGTTATTTGCGTAATTTTTTCAGAAACATGGTTATTTGTGAAATTTCTTTTTAATACCTGGTTATTCCAAAAAAAAATTCTTGAAATTCTATTATGTGTTATTAAAAAAAATATTTTTTGAACCATTTTAGTAATAATTAAATTTTTTATAAATTATATAGTAAATAAAATTGTAAAATAAAAAATTTTAAAAATTGGCAGGTCGATCGTCAACCCACGGATTCATTAGTAAACGAAACAAATTTAATTTTTGAGGTCAGACCCCTAAATTGATCCGTCATACTTTTGGAAAAACTTAAGCAAAACACAATGCCTCTTTTAACACACCTACTATCAATATAAATAAATATTACACATGCATTCAATTAAAATATTAAATTATATAAATAATTTAAAATTTATAATCTTATTTAACAAAATATATGAATATCATTAAATCATTAATTGACCGTGTAAATTCCATTTTCTCAAATCTCGTAAAATCAATTAGTACTTATTGTATTAAAAAAATAAAATCTGATGAATAATTAAGAATGATTGTGATGTATGCATGTGTAAAAGCTAGAATGTGAATGCATAATTTTTTGTCAGTGTTTGGAAAAATATAGTATGTGCATTTATATTCATACCATAACTATAGTGCACGGTAATGTTTGATGATAAGCTAGATGGATACATCATTGGGTGTCAGTGTATCACGGTTCAGTACATGTTATCCGGTCGGACCGGGTTCACAACAGACGAATGTGCAATCACGCACTTATCCATACATATCAATCGAAACCGAATTAAACCGAACCAAATCACACTATACAAACTTCATATACCAGAATTAACCAAAAATAACAAATTTCCATTTCAATCCCAATTCGTTACTAAAATCCAGAATTTCGGAAATATCACACAGTGCCAAATTTGCATCACTCAACTAGTAGCACACACGTTTAATCTCCTTCAATTGTGACCGCATAACGTAACGTGAACAACAAAAAAATGTACAACCTTCGAACAATGCCACACAAGTATTCAATTAACTACCAAAATAGCGACAAAACCCACCGTTATTATGAGGTTAAATTTTTTTATATTTAAATAAATATATACACCAAAAATATTGGGAAAAAAAAATCTCAATTAGTTATATTGCTATCAATCTCATATTTGTTTCTTTTTTTTCTTCTTTCTTTCTAGAAATAATTTAATGTTTATCTAAAAAAATTAGTATTTAACTACGTGGTACGTGGAACAGCCTTAGCAGCAAGTATGAAGTGTTTCGCACTGTGCTTGGTTTCTTTCTGGGTTCTCTTTGCTTTCTTATTTCAGAGGTATGTAATGTAATTTAGTAAATGTAACCATAGAAGGGTTGGATCCAAAACCCATTGTGTTTTTTTTGTGGCTTTTACTTTCACATTGTTATTGCTTGTCATTAGATGTTGTTAAATGTGATGGATCTGTACACATGAATCAGTTACTTTTTAAACATAGTGTCTTATAGTGTCTGGTAGTTAAATGTCTGTGTTGAAAGTGATGTTTTGGACCATGATTGTTGGAGTCAAATTAAGGAATCTCAACATAGATTCATTATGTTTGTTTGTGTCATTTCAGTGTGTCATCCCGAAATTTATCTGTGAGTGCCATAAAGCAAGCTGCCTCGCCGCCGAGAGGTTGGAACTCGTATGATGCATTTTCGTGGATAATTTCTGAACAAGAATTCTTACAGAATGCCGAAATTGTTTCTCAGCGTCTCAGTGCTTTTGGATACGAGGTATAAATACTGAAAGGAGCTATAGTTGCTTTAGGATTAGAACTACTTGGTTATGTATATCGATTTCTTTAGTGGTAGTTTGGTTGTGTATATATTGATTTCTTTGTTTCTACCTTTGTAGTATGTTGTGGTGGATTACCTCTGGTATAGGAGGTTTGTAAATGGTGCTAATAGTAATTCTCTTGGATTCGACGTGATTGATGAATGGGGAAGGATGGTCCCTGATCCAGGAAGGTGGCCTTCTTCCAATAATGGGAATGGATTCTCTCAAATAGCTAAAAAAGTGCATAGCTTAGGTTTGAAGTTTGGGATTCATATTATGAGAGGGATAAGCACACAAGCTGTGAATGCAAACACCCCTATCCTAGATCCAGCAACGGTATTGCTTTGCATTTCTTCTCTTAGCTTGATTCACGGCGCGTAAGGTGGGCTAGTTTTGAAACTTCTTATTGACCTTTGATGTCCTTTTCTTGTGATTTCCTAGGGTCGTGCCTATGAAGAATCCGGTCGAGTGTGGCATGCAAAAGACATAGCAATTCCAGAAAGGACTTGTGCATGGATGTCTAATGGTTTCATGAGTGTAAATACAACGTTAGGAGCAGGAAGAGCTTTTTTGAAATCACTTCACCAACAGTATGCTGCTTGGGGTGTTGATCTTGGTACCGACACTACAAACTCGCTCTCAAAACATTTATAATGTCATTGACAACAATCATGATGATTTTAAATCCACAAAGTATTGACTGATTATACATTCATGCAGTGAAACATGATTGTGTGTTTGGTACTGACTTGGATATAAATGAGATCACCTATGTATCTGAGGTATAGTTTCCTCTCTTACCTTCCTCCACTTTCACATTGTATAGAAATCACGATATATATTTCCACTATGATGATCATATGCAAACTTATCAGATGACATGTCATGCCAGGTTATCAGCCAGCTTAACCGCCCCGTTACGTATTCTTTATCTCCCGGACCTGGTGCGACACCAGCCATGGCCAAGGAAATCAGTGGACTAGTCAACATGTATCGCGTAACAGGCGATGACTGGGATAAATGGTCGGATGTCGAGCCTCACTTTGATGTAGCAAGGTGATTATGTTGCAATAATGTTGCTTCTCTGTTAAAGTTCTGTTATCTTACCACACATAATTATCATATTACATAACTTCGGTTCATTAAATCTGAATCAGGGACTTTTCTAATGCGAATTTGATAGGAGCAAATGGTTTAAAGGGAAATTCTTGGCCTGATTTGGACATGCTACCATTTGGATGGATAACTGATCCAGGTGAGAGTGAAGCATTCTCTCTTGATTAAAAACTAGCTGAAATATGGATTTTTTAACCTTTTTTCTTCCAATTTATAGGTGCGAATGAAGGTCCACATAGGTATTGTAGGATGACTCTAAAAGAGCAAAAGTCGCAGGTATTGATAAATAGTATAACCGAGTTGCTTTCTTATATACTTCATGTAATGATGATGTGCTTACATGCATCATGATAGATTCTGAGTTAATTCACTATCATCTTGCAGATAACTTTATGGGCTATAGCAAAGTCTCCCCTTATGTATGGAGGAGATTTGCGGAAGATCGATCCTTTCACATTCCGAATGATCACGGACCCTACCCTGCTAGAGATTAATTCTTTCAGCCTAAATAATAGGGAGGCAAGTGAGCCATTTAAATCTTTTTTTTTTCCCATGAATAGTTTCCATTTGAAGGATAAACTTATAGAGAGCTGATATCATTTTTACTCCAATGACAGTATCCTTATGCCAACGGCTTTGTGCATTCGAAGAATGAAGATCACAAAGTAAAGAAAATTACACATTCATTAGGCCTAACTAGCTGCGCTGAATCGAAGGCAAGTGGTTGGACTGCGGAAAGTCTTGACCATGATCTTCAAAGAATCTGTTGGAAAGTGGGTTTAGAAAACAAGAATCAGAACCCTTTTTGTGTAAACAAGAGAGAACTTCAATTCAAATTGTAATACTTCTTTATCTTTATCTGTTCTATTTATATAACTCAGTTGATTATTCATGTTGTTACCAACATAAACTGTTCTATTGATATTGTTACAGAAACGGAGACAATACGTATCAAGAGAAATATCGCGGGAAAAATCATTTAGTTGCAACCAACGAAATGAGACTTTGCATGGATGGTTCTCCAAAACAAAAAGTAACTGCCAACGAGTTAAAGATAGGCACATTTTCTCCTTGTACATTGGATTCAAATCAGGTAAGTTTCAGTACATATTTGAGCTACAAAGTGAGTGATGCACAAAAGTGTACGATTGATATTTGTGGATTCTGGTGGAAGATGATCAATTATGTCTTTAACAGATGTGGGAGCTAAACTCTAATGGAACCTTGGTAAATAGTTACTCTGGTCTTTGTGCAACAGTAAATTCTGTTGAAGGTAAATTTTAGTACATATGGTTGTAATGCTTCTGATATTAAATATAAGCAAAACATACACAGATTTGGATCAAATACGTGTATATTTTTGCTTACGTTTAAGATTAGAAGAAGTATAATTTTTTCCCGTATCCTTGTCTATATTACTCATAAAGCAAATTGGGCAATCGCGCAGTTAATTCTAACTCAGGTGGGATTCGTTCATGGGTTGCAACAGGAAGAAAAGGTCTGTTGCAGAATCAAAACATCAAAGTGTAGAACATGCTTATATTGTAGTATATGCTTTGATGCTTCTTTTCAATATCCTAATAATAAACGCTATAGTTGTTGTATTGGTATTCAGGAGAATTGTATCTGGCTTTCTTCAATCTGAGTGATCAGGAGATGACGATAGAAACAACGACATTAGATTTGAATAGGTTTCTCCCTGGCGGAGGCTTGCATACATGTCAAGGTACTGAAGTATGGACTGGACAGAAAATTGTACCAAGGGAAACTCGAGGGATGATAGCAGCAGAAGTTGGAGTTCATGGATGTGCAATATTTGCTTTTACTTGCTAATAGTTTGGCTTCCTATTATTCATTTATTATTCAAAAGAAAAGCAGAAGATAAATTTATGAATAGCATCTAATTGTGGTGTGGTGCGTAAGTGTTAGATCTCACCAATGTAATGGAATTGTTGTTTCATTTCTTGAACTATGACTTAATTGGTATGCACCTTCCAAGTGTGCAACCTTGCAAAGTTTGAAAATTGAGAAATATTGTCTTGCTAAGTTTGCATTTTATATCATCAAAATAAGTAGTACATATATTAAATAGTACAATCATCAGGATAAAAATAAAATATAGATTCATCTTTTTATCTGTCTACTTGTCATTTCAATAACTATTGTTAAATGAAAGATGAAATGCATCAAGAAATATTATAATGTGGAACAAAAAACAATAAATAAAAACAAGAAACAATCCTAGTCATATTAAAGTGTCGTGAAAACAAAATCCCTGAACAAGATAAAGAAACAACAAGCATAAGTGATTTGTTCAATCACAATTTTTCATTGCACCTATACATTATCTCAAGTTTCGTATTCAAACACATCAAATTCCATTTTTTACAAAATTTAATTCGAAAATATATTTTTGATCTTTTTAGGTGAATTTAAAGATGTATGTCCGAAGATACAATTTATTTTAATTGTCATTAATTTCTCAACAAAATTGAATCAATAGAAATAGAATTTATTTTGAAATAGAATTTTTTATTATTCTTATAAATATAAATATTATTATTATTTACAATAATTATTGTTATTTTATAATAATTATTTTCTTGACTAGTATATAATTCACATAATAATAATTATTATAATTATTTTCTTGACTAATATATAATTCATATAAACTAATTATTATATAATGTTATTATAGACTATTATATAATAATTTTAATTATAGTTATTATAATTATTTCTTTTTGAAAAACAATTGTTTTCAATATATAGACTAATAATTTAACTCTTACTTGAACTCATTAAGCTTGTAAAAACAATTACATTTTAAGTTTTTTATATTAAATAATTCATTTTTAGTATAAAAAATTATGATTTAAAATAATATAATTTAGTATAAAAATATTGAAATAAAATAAATAAATAATTATTATTTTAGTGTATTTTGATAGACTTTCTTTTACATGGTTTTATTACTAAAATATATCAATCTAAATCATTTTGTTTTTGTTACTAAAATATTAATATAATAATATAAAAAATAATAACACATAAACTATATATTAATCAAAAAATAATTATAAGTATAATTATTATTATGTGAATTATATATTAGTCAAGAATATAGTTATAATAATTATTATTATGTGAATTATATTAGTCAAGAAAATAATTATTATAAAAAATAATAAATAATTATGCTAAATAATAAATAATATTTAGAATTTTAAGCGGGTGACCATGTGTTTTTAAGAGTTACACATGTGACTTGTGTTGGGCGAGCGTTGAAGTCTAAGAAGCTCACTTCTTGTTTTATTGGACCATATCAGATTTCGGAGAGAGTGGAGAATGTTTCTTATAAAGTGGCTTTACCGCCTAATCTTTCGAATTTGTATGATATGTTTCATGTGTCGCAACTCCGGAAATATATTTCAAATTCATCTCATGTGATTCATATGGATGATGTGCAAGTACGGGATAATCTTACGGTGGAGACGATGCATGTACGGATCGCGGATCGTGAAACTAAGATTCTGAGGGGCAAGGAGATTGCTTTGGTTAAAGTGGTTTGGCTAGGAGCTGTCGGAAAAAGCGTGACTTGGGAGTTGGAGAGCAAGATGCGAGACTTCTACCCTGAGTTGTTTGATTGAGGTAAATTTTCGAGGACAAAAATATTTTAAGTGGGAGAGAGTTGTAACACCCGTAATTTAATTAATTATTTAATTAAATTATTTTCGGAATATTTGTGAAGATGTGTTGTGATTAATTGGATTTAAGTGTTTTATCAAGTGGAGAAATAATATTAGAAGTATAATAATATTTGATGTGGGCTTGTTTTAAAGGAATAGAAGTAATAAGGGGGTGTATTAGTTTTGAGCCCAATAAGGAATAAAGAATAATAGGTTATTTTATTATTGTTAGAAAGAATAGACAAGAGGAGGCAGTAGAAGAATAAGGATTGAGAAGAAGAACGTGAAGCTGCTA